GCCGGCCTCCCCGGGGTTGAGGGCTGCGCCGCCGCGTGCCGGTGTCCATGCGCACGGAGGCCGCGCGGAGCGCGGCCAGAGGGGCCTGGGATAGGCTGGGGGAGCAGCACTGCCCGTCCTGGACGCTGGACGCTCGGGCTGCTGCTCTGGTACTTCCCTTCCTCGCGCTGCTGGGTGTCCAGGGCCAGCGGCGCCCTCGGGGTCCTCTGCGCCGCAGGCCTGCCCGGGCTGTTGGGCGAGTCTCCAGGCCGCACCTCCCCTGCCGCTGCCGGCAGCCCTTTCTGCAGGGGGCGGGGCTGTGTCCCGCGTGGGGCCGCCGGCCCCGGCCCAGGCTCGGCTCCGCTCCGCCCGCAGCTGATCCTGGCAGGCGCGCTCAGGATCGCCGACCGGGTGGAGGCGGGCAAGGCCTCGGCCGTGGTGCACTGCAGCGACGGCTGGGACCGCACGGCGCAGCTGACCGCGCTGGCCATGCTCATGCTGGACGGACATTACCGCACCGTGCGCGGCTTCCAGGTCCTGGTGGAGAAGGAGTGGCTGAGCTTCGGGCACCGCTTCCAGCTGGTGCGTGGGGCGCGGGGCAGGCCCGCGGGGCGGGCGGTCCTGGGGCCCTCGCAGGGCCGCACCTGGCCGGGACAGTGGGCGGGCGGTCCCCGGCCCCCCGGAGGCGAGGCGAGGCGCGGGCCAGTGCTGCTTGCGTGCGGCCGCAGGCCGGCAGGGCTCCTGGGGTCCAGGACGCGAGCGAGCAGCTTGCGGAGCGCCCGGCCCGGCCCAGCCCAGCCCCGTCTGCCACAGAGACTCGGCCACGGGGACAAGAACCACGCGGACGCCGACCGGTCCCCCGTCTTCCTGCAGTTCGTGGACTGCGTGTGGCAGATGACGCGGCAGGTAGGGCGGCGCCGGCTCGGTCTTCGGCCAGCCTGGAGGGGGACGTGGGCGCGTCCCGCGGCTGATGGACAGTCTGCTGGTCACGGCGAGGAGGGCTGGTCTCTGGGAAAGACCCGGGGCCTGGAGGGCGCCTGCTTGGCACGGCCCCGGGCACAGGGCCCGCTCCGGAGAGGCCGCGGCGGGCTGGCGTGCAGCTTCATCCGGGGCCCCAGGGCCACA